TCCCTTAAGGTCACGTTTTAAAAGGATAGGTTATCCAAAAATAAAGAATTTGCTGTTAATTTACTCACCATCAGGCCATTCAAAAAATTTTTTTGAAGACTGAAAAAGTTTTTTAGCTTAAACTGTGGTGATTTATATACAAAGCTACTACTTTGAGGAACAAAAAAGTATATATATAGACAGGCAAAACCAAATTAATTAGTTTGGCTCCTGATGAAATATTGGTAACTTATGAAATAAATTCATTAATCTTCACCGGAATCATTATTTTATGGTGTTTTAAGTTATTTTTAGCATAGAGTGATCACTTCAGAAAACCTCAACTTTATCCTCAGGAACAACTGGTATTCATTTTGTTTTGTCTGTACAGTGCATCCAGAAAGTATTCATAGCGCTTCATTTTTTCCACATTTTTTTATGTTACAGCCTTATTCCAAAGTGGATTAAATTAATTTATTTCCTCAATATTCTACACACAATACCCCATAATAACAATGTGGAAAAAAGATTTTTTGAAATTGTTGCAAATTTATTCAAAATAAAAAACCTGAAAAATCAGATGTACATAAGTATTCACAGCCTTTGCCGTGAAGCTCTAAATTGAGCTCAGGTACATTCTGTTTCCACTGATCGTTCTTGAGATGTTTCAGCAGCTTAATTGGAGTTCACCTGTGGTAAATTCAGTTGATTGGACATGATTTGAAAAGGCATACACCTGTTTATATAAGGTCCCAGGGTTGACAGTGCATGTCAGAACACAAACCAAACATGAAGACAAAAGAATTGTCTGTAGACCTCCAAGACAGGATTATCTCAAGGCATAAGGCTGGGGAAGGTTACAGAAAATTTTTTGCTGCTCTGAAAGTTCCAATAAGCACAGAGGCCTCCATCATCTGTAAGTGAAAGATCAAATAAGCTAAGTGATTAGGGGTGAAGGGCCCTAGTTAGGGAGGTGATCAATAGCCCGATGGCTCTTTGCTTTACAACAACTTGGTAAATGTCCTTGAGTAGCCCAGCCATAGCCCAGACCTAAATCCTATTGAGCATCTCTGGAGAGATCTAAAAACCATAGTAGGCCATCGCTTACCATCCAGTCTGACAGAGCTTGAAAAGAATTGGAATAAGGAATTGGCAAAAATTCCCAAAGACAGGTGTGCCAAGCTTGTGGCATCATATTCAAAAAGACTTGAGGCTGTAATTGCTGCCAAAGGTGCATCAACAAAGTATTGAGCAAAGGCTGTGAATACTTATGTACATCTAATTTTTCAAGTTTTTTTATTTTTAATAAATTTGCAACTATTTCAAAAATTCTTTTTTTCACACTGTCATTATGGGGTATTATGTGTAGAATTTTGAGGAAAAAATGAGGAGAAATGCATTTAATAATACAGCCATCAGTGATGTCATTTCAAAGTGTTTTTCAAGTGTCTTTCTTTGTGCTCTATTTGTGTGATTGTTTAAGTCATATCTATTTTCTTGTATTCTTTAAGCAGGGATTTATTAAAAAGCACATTAAACTTTCACACTGCTTTTAGATGTTTACCCCCATATGTGGATCGGGTCAGGCGAAGTGTTCTGCAATAAATGGTCTTATTCCCCTTTGCTTTCTCTAACACGACTGACCCACGGTTTGCGGTTTGGTTTCAAACATCTTTCCAGACGAATCAAGATCTTATCTGTTTGGATACATATTAATCCACCAGCCAAAGTCAACACATTTAACACATGTGCAGCTTTGCGAGCCCGACATTGTGTTTTAACTGAAACCTGATTATTTAACGTAGCAAACGATCTGTTTTTTTCGACATGTTTGAGTTAAGATCGAAAAGATTTCAAGTTGATATAGTGGTATTTCAGACCCAGACAGAATAACTCTAGAGCAGAAGAATGACCATTCAGGAAAATGATGATCTAAAGGAGCTTTCGGTTCAAACACTAGATCACATTCACCTTTTTCTTTTATATCAGAATATTTTGTACGCTTTCCAAACATCTCTGTCTGGGCTTTTATAATTGAACATTACAGTATTGGGCTACAATGTGTTGTTTCTTCCTAGAACTATCAAGTGCAATTTTTGCACATCTGAGCAGTTGGCAGAGTCCTGTACAAGTAGCCTAGTGCCCAGTCTCTCCAGAGTTAATTTATCACACATTTTAGTGCTTTGAAAGGTTATTTATCGGACACACTTGGTGGAATATGTTGATCTCAATAATAAGAGAACATGATGATTGCGTTTTTAAGCACATTGATAGAAGCTTGGATGGTGGTCCCCCACGTTTAGCCCGCCTCAAGGTTAACTGCATCTGCTCTGCGCTTGGCCTGGAAGTTATTAAGCCTTTCATATTAGCCTTCTCCCCTAATGAGAGCCCTAATGACTACTGACACTTTTACGACCCTCGCAACCTGCCCCTGTGAGTATGCGCATGCACTTGGATTGAAAAACAATTACTCAAATGTGTTATTTTATTGGGGCTGTTGAAGAGTAAAGGGCTCGTTTTTGTTTGGGTCATTAAAGCGAATGACAATGAACAGAATAACCTGAAAAAAATGCACTAAGGAAAATCGGTTAACCTTTCTGACGCACCACCACGGCTACGTCTCATTTGAAGACTGTTTAGACTGTGGGGAACTGGCTGGAGCTCTGTGCTTGAATTCGGACTACAGGTTTAGTGCTGTTCGTGACTTTTGGGATACAAGTGGCCATACATCAGAGACAGGGCGAGCTGCTGCAGAGATGAGTGATTGAGGACTTTAAACTCATTTAGTGCTCATGATGAGTGAATAGAATGGTCAAGGGACTACGGACCATTTGTCTTCCCTTTTGACAAGGTTTCTACATGGGCCTGGAAGCAGGCAGACTAGGCCTAGTGGGGTCTGGAGATTAACATTGCCAAAAAGTAAAGACTGTTTTAAGTTTGTGAGTCCTTTTAAGGCAAAGGAGTTCTTGCGTATGAAATATGGCTTGTTGGAAACGTGTATTATGATGTATTTGTTTTCCTTTTCCACCTATACATATATGCACATACAAAAACATACACTTTTTAAATATGGCTTTCAAACAGGAGCTCCACATTACTCAGTGACCCTAAAACATTTGAAATAATCTCCTGTTTCCTCAGTGCAATAAATCAGTGTCTTACTCTTCTATCAGCGGAATAAGGATAACACGTTTTGCACCGTCATGAGCTTCTCATCGAATCATGTGTGTGTCTGAAAGTGTATGATGCATCAAATAAAAATGTGTATTCTCCTTGCGAGTTTGAAAAACATCTGTTTTGTGTTCTCTAACTTATAGATTTTGATTTGTGCATGTCTCGTAGCAGTCATTAAAGGCTAATAGAAAAACCACGCTTGACTCACGGCGTTATACTGTGTGAATCTTGGCCTGTCTTTGGGCCTAGACTTACAGAATTGCATTAGGGGATCACATTTTTTTATGTGCATTTGCTGCAAATGTGGCTTAGACTATGCGACTACAGGACTTGTAGTGAAGGAGAAGCAAGTATGAGAAATGTTTGACTTAAGTTTACTACATCATGCTCTCTCCTTGTACAGTGGAAAATATTTTATTTGTAATATCTGTATTTCATTTGTATTCATTTTGAATGTAATGTATGAGAAGTGCATACAGGATGACATTTACTGAATAAAATCATACATTTGTAAACATTTTAACTAGTTTTGAACATAGACTATAAAAGATATGGGCGTAGTATCCGTGACGTCCCTCTTAGGTTTCTGAAGAGAGCCAATGAAGTAGGTGTGGCCAACCGTGGGTATTTTGTTTGTGTCATCGCGCCGACCGGGACTTACCAAAAAAAGAGCAAAGAGGCAGAGCTTGAGTGGAGCTACAGATGCCTGCTAGGATTTTGCTTAGATGAGCATTTCTTTGAGAGAAACGCTTAATACTTCATTACCTGTGACTCGTTTGTGCTCTGACCACATGTGCTTGGTTGTACACTATATCAATAAAATGTTCAAACTTTTAAAAACACTGTTGTAATACTTTGAGCCACTAAGCATTGTTTTAATGATGTTTTTCTATAGGAGAAAAATGCAAATTACTCCCAAATACTTCAAATATAGTCTGTGTAATTGATGCAAGGCTATTTATGTAATCCAGTCAAAACACTGTATGACATTACAAATGACTGTTCTAGAGCCTAGAGCTAATCAATCTGTCAGATTCTGGGGTGCATTCAAGTTCTAAAGAAAACTATAAATAATAAGTTATCTTAAATAAAACAAATACATTTATAGATATGGTATATAAGTATATAATTTCACTCACCTGGAAAATGCAGGCCACGTGAATGGTTTGTGAGCACAATTAAGTTCACACAGCATGCCATATTATCTGATAATTGTAAAAATAGTTCCAAAATGCAATTGACTTTGGTAATTGGTAATCAGCTGAAGTAAAGTGACTGTAACCAGCAAGACCTAGCTGTCACTCAAGTGGCCACGCCCTTAATTATGAAGATTTACTATAACTTTATAAAACCCAAACTGATGAGTTATAAAAAAAAAAATTCACCCCCCTCACAGTTGTGTTGAAGGGTAATATTTGCTATATGAACCAAAATTGTTCATTGTACCAGGCTGTAAACACCTTTTGTTTATGTTGTAAAGTTGGCCATTTTAACAGTGGGGTCAATATTAATGTGCTCTATAATGGAGCCAGGACTAACAGAATTTCGATGAATTGCAGTTACAGTTACTTCCGTATTGGCTTCATGAGGAAGAGCGGGAGGTTGCCGCTCAGTTTTGAAATAATTTTTGTTTTTTTAATTAAGATTTTTTTTTTTTTAATAAAGTGAAACTATATTAACAAAATAATTAATATATTTGCTATCGGCTGAAAAAGAATGTAACGTAAATAAAAATCATAATAGTCAAAGTTAAATAACTAGAACTAAAGAGTAAATTTAATTGTTAATAAACCTTTTGCAAGATATTAATTTACACTTTCTTCTTGTTTGTCTGTTTTCTTCTGCAGGTCCTACTGGTGTTGGATTGAATGAGCTCAAAAGGAAGTTGTTGATTTCTGATACACAACATTTTAGTGTCACCATCCCACGTAAGTCCTTTCTTATGAGAGAAAGTACTGTGACAGTAAAAATAAAAGATAATTTTTTTTGTAGTACTCATAATGCATATTTATTTATTTATTTATTTATTGTTGTTTGGTACATTAGTGTACTTCACCATTGTAACAAGGACTCACCTCATCAGTTTGTCATTAACAGCAGCTCTTCTCTCTGTGTTGGTCTCTCCTCCTCTGTTCCTCACACATCCAGAAACACATGATCCAGGAAAATACCTTTGAGCAGATATTCTGAGGACAAATGCATATGGCTGTCATTTATGTATTTAAACAGGCTGAAGCTGTGGAGAAATTGCATATTTAGAGGCATGAAAATCTGAGACGGGGCTTGGAAGTTTGAGGGAGTTGGAGACAGTGGCTAGAAAAGCCACGACTGTTGATATAACACTGAGATGTTTGTTACCTTCAGGTTTGGCTTTAATAGATGTGTCTGATTCAGGCTTTGACACTTTGAAATGCCACTGGTATTAAAATCCCATCCAAGGCTTTTTGCCTTAATGCTGCCTAATTGCTCTCAAATGTGACCCCTGCATTAGTCTGTATTATGTAGCCCGGCTTTTCTCAAACCTTACAGAGATTTAGATTATAAGGATGGATTCTTGGAAAGAGACTGTTTTGAAAGTGCTTTTTGGTCGTCGTTCCTCTTTTCATTTCAGTCCCTTCAGCTCTCATTGTGAATAAGGAGTGATTAAACATTAAATATATTTCTATTTAATTCTCTACAGAAGACCAGTGTGCCAATTGCTTCACATTTCCAACTATCGGGTCTTTTAAAAAGCGCAAACCAGCCATGGCAGCAACACTAGCGAGATTGTACAATATGATTAGTGGAGGGCACTTAAACATTTTGTCCCCTCTCCAGCTTTTACTGCTATTTTCCGTGACCTTAGAATGAAATTTAAATTCTTTTGCCACACCAAAAACATTTCCTATGCCACAGAGCTAATGCCAGATGAAATATATTCTATTTCTTTCAGCAGTATATAAGGAGGGACTTTTTTTTCTTTGTTTTGTGAGCACCAGCAGTCGGAGATATAATAACATGTTATCTTGTGTCTGTGGTGGGCTGTCATCATGGGAGGGAATGTGTCTTCATCAAATATGTGATGGGTCGACGGTAACTAATAATTTTCTCTCATCCCACCCAGCCTATGCTTCCCTCCTCCTGTCTCTTACTCTGTCTTTAAAGGAATAGGTGTTCTTTTTTTTAAACTAAACGAGAATGTTGGAAATTAGACAGCAAGTGGTCCATTTATTTTACGACCAGTGGTGCATTACTGTTTAAAAGTTTGAGGTCTGTATGAAATTAGAAAAGAAAATGAGAAAGATATCAATTTATGAGATAAAAAATATATACATATTGTGAAAATTAAACACTGCTTTTTTTTTTAATTTCATATATTCATAAGAAAAAAAAAAACATTGGGTGACTTTATTTTAAACTGTCCTTGTTACAGTGTAACTGTTCATTTAACTATTGAGTAACATTAATTAATTACATGTACTATTTGGTTAAAGTAAAAATGAAGGCTAGATTTACGTTTAGTTTCATGTAATTATGCATAATTGTAATTACCATACTGGAACATGGTAGCAGTGTAATGCGTCATCCACACTAGAAGCGACTGTGTAGCTGCCTGTCGCTCTGGATGGTGACCTGCTTCAAACGCGGGTCTGTGTAGGTATATACAGCACAAAATACAGCTGGCCTCTGAGCGAGCTGAGAGAGGATCATGAAAGCTGTGATGGTGCTCCTATTGGCTATCGCTCAAAAAAGTCACTCTTTATTTGCATAAAGTTGAAGGATTCTTAACTTTGTCGCATCGCTAGACACTCCTTGTTGCTCGCTCTACTTCAAAATGAACAGTCGCTTGTCACTTTGCCATTACGAGTCGCTCGTAGTGTGAATGAGGCTTAACAATACATGTTAGTTGAACGTGTAACAAGGACATAAAATAAAAATTTTATGTCACTGTTTAATTAATTAATTAATATTTATCTAATATTGCAATTTTAAGTAGTTAAAATACAGTACTAATTTATTATTTTATGTTTAAAATATATAACATATATATTTGCATAAAGTTGAAGGATTTTTAACTTTGTCGCATCGCTAGACACTCCTTGTTGCTCGCTCTACTTCAAAATGAACAGTCGCTTGTCACTTTGCCATTACGAGTCGCTCGTAGTGTGAATGAGGCTTAACAATACATGTTAGTTGAACGTGTAACAAGGACATAAAATAAAAATTTTATGTCACTGTTTAATTAATTAATTAATATTTATCTAATATTGCAATTTTAAGTAGTTAAAATACAGTACTAATTTATTATTTTATGTTTTAAATACAATTTAAAAATGAATAGCTTATAGGTGCATAAGGTGAACTGCCTAAATGTTAACCGATTTGCATAATATCTTTGAAAATGCAATCCTTCCCCTGGCATCTAAAGCCATTCCTCTTGATATCACAATTGGGTACCTTAAAGACGACAATAGACAACCCACTAGATCATGTCATTCACCAGTTAAAAAACTTTATTGTACTTTTTAATACTAAAATTTCAATAAAAACTATATTATATCAAGCAAGTTTTCCGTTGTGTAGCAAGCAAAACTTGTTATAATGTGATTTTACATACATGAAGGTTTAGCTGGTCTCACTTTCTCTCATGATTTGTCCTAAAGCGACTACTGTACGCTTGGCCGGTGGGCTGCAGGAATTACACCTTATACTAAGCCATACTAACATGCTTTTTTAGACAGAATATTCCAAGTAGCATGTTAAATAATATATGGGGCTTGTCACAGGTTATCATTGTTCAAAAATGAACCAATGTGAATATGAAACCAAGTCAGCTCAGTAAAGCAGGGTTGGCGGAATAGCACTATTTACTTATTTTTTGTTGTTAAACTAAATTAAATTCTACATTATCGATGCTGTAATAGGTCCCTCATGAAACTGAGAATAGTCACATCAATCTTTGGATTGGTGGATTTTAGTGGCTAAACAACACTTCTGTGCATATAACCCATTCATAAAACAACAAAATCTACATAAGCTTTGCATGACAAAAATGGTTTTAAAGGGCACATAGGTTACCCCTTTTTTCATATTTATTGTAAGTCTTTTGTGTCCCCAGAATGTGTCTGTAAAGTTTCAGCTCAAAACACCTATCAGAGTATTTATTATAGCTGTTTGAAGTGTCTGTATTATAACTGGGAAAAGGTTGAATCAGGATTTTAAAAGGTTTTGTTTCAGCATTTGTTTTTGCTGCTGTCACTCTCTCTTTCTCTCGCAAATGGTCGACTTGTCTCTGTGAATGGCTGCACAGATGTACAAATCTACATTTTTTTGACAGACAGTTTGGACTACTTATCAGAATTATGGGAATTGTTGAACTGACAAATTTTAATTGGATAAATATTTTTTAGTCTCACACCTCTTTTAGAAAATAATAAAACAAATAAATACATTTAGATCATTTACTTTGATCATTACTATTGGAATGTGAAGAGACTTTCAACCAGCACAACAAAAAATGTTTCTGAAGACAATTCGTCAACTTAGAATTATAAGGTTCTATCTGATATTTTTGTCAAAATTGAGTTATTGACATATTCTTATTAAATGACAACTTATTTACATGATGTGATGTTTTTTTATAAGTTGTTTACATTTTATAGTACCATAGTTTTCATTTTAATAAGATTTGATAAATCTCTTATACTTAACAATGTTATAATTTTCAGTTTTTTTAACAATTCAGGTTGAAAAGAACATAATTTTAATAAAACAGTAAAACTCTTTTGTAATATTACAAACCTCTATACTCTTGCTTCTTATCAATTTATAAATTTTTGTAAAATAAATGTTTTTTAAAAGTCTTGCTGTTCCTAAACTTCTGAACAGTAATGTGTGTAAAAGCTGAAAGGAGAAAATGCAGGAAAAGAAAAAACCTGGAACAAGGCAAGTTGGAACGGTGATAAAGTTTAATAGTTTGTTTTGGACCTGCTGGCAGCTTGCAGACGATTTGTCGGAGGTGTGTTCGACAGTGACCTTTGACCCTCCCTGACTCTCATTAAACACACCGCTGTGAGTCTCCTCATGGCAAACTTTGACCCTGGCTGTACCCGCTGGAGCCGTGCTGGCTGGACTGGCACGCGCCGTCTCATTTAAAGACAGCAGTTTATAAGCAGCTGAAAGCAGGAGCGGGGCTTAATGAGGGACAGAGTAAACTCAGTGCTGTTACTGTACCGTGTGCTCCTGGGGCTTTACAGGCAGCTTTACACTCACGCTGGCCTTCAGAAGCCTCACAGTGAGGTGAGCCAACACAGACGCGGTGGCTGTGGATTCAGGCCTTGCAGAGGTGGTTTATTTTATAGAAAGTTAAGTGGGATATAAAAGTGCCCATGGGGAACTCCCTTTAATCAAGGAAATGTCTGTAATGAGCATTTCTTCACATATTCTTCCTGAAGCACCTTAGACCACAGGACACTTTGTGCCTATATAGTAACACGGTTTAGGGCTGATTGGAAATATTGTTTTACAAATTAATTACAATTGTAAAATGAATGATCTGATTATTGAGGCTTAATTAATTTTGTATACTTTAGTACTATATATGTTAGTGTCTATATGAACATTTATCTGTTAAGTAGTTGTTTTTCTGATCAGAGGCGTCTGCTGATCTTATTGTTTTAAAATAAACTAATAATTTACGCATCCTGTTTTTGTCCTGACACCACTCATGTTTCTTTAATAAAACTAAAAATAGATAAAAAATAATTTTTTTTTTTTTTTTAAATTGTCCACATCTTTACAGTGAATTGTGATCAGCATCAAGCTTGATTCATTAAAAAAAAAAGTTTAATAGTTTCATACGTTCCATAAATGCCTAGTGCAATAGGATTTGGTAAAGAAATTTTAACAATTGAGTAACAAAAGTGTTTACTGTATTCTACTATGAAACTATTCTACATTGTTAACTGTGGCACTAATAGTTTCTAATGAATCAGCAGTAGTACACAAAGACCAAACGATCAAAATCTGAATTTTCTTCGTTCTTTTTTTTATTCATTCTTGGTTTGTTGATGATGGTTTATAAAAATCAGAGCCAGTCTACCATTTTGAATTGACTTGTTTCACATCATGTAGTATATGATGACCACTGTAATGTTTTAGCTTTTGATTATGGTTCATTCCAGTTAGGGAACACAAACATATTTGAACTCTTTTAGGCCAGTGGAGACAGAGATCACCTCGATTGGATGAAAACACTAGAAAGGTCAAGTGCTAAAAGCAATCAAAGAATTCTAAACTACATTCAGACAAAAGCTAATCTAATATTATGTCATTTACTTGAGGATTTTAGTATGTGAGTACTTTATTAACAATATGAGCTGATCAAAATAAAGTAATTGATATTCATAATGTTGAGCAAATGCTTACTCCTTTACTGTTTGTAAATCTACAGTCATAAGCTGAGTCTGAGGGTGCTTTCACACTAGTACTTTTCGTCCGCACCAGAATTTGTTTGATGTCAGAGTATGGTTTGTTTAGCTAGTGTGAATGTGTTTTCCTGAACTCGGGTGCACACCCATGAACTGTACCCGAGTCTGCTTGAAAGAGATGGTCTGGGGTACGGTTCATGCGAACTCTGATCCGGTTCACTTCTGGTATTGTTGCGTAGGGATGCTATGCAGACAGGGGTAGTATTAATGCAGCTTTATTATGAGAATGGCCAGACAGGCAAGGGTCGAAAACCAGCAGAAACAGTATAGTAGACAATCCAGAAGCGTAATACAAAAATAGGCGAAAGGTTCAGGGCAGACAGCAAAGAATTAAAAATACGATAAAAAGTCCAAGGTCAAAAACACAGTAAACAGGAAACGAGGAGAAATGCTAACGTACGGACAGCAACAGCTTAACAATACTCAGCGACATGTGTGTGGAACAGAGGGGTTCAAATAGTCCAAATAATCAATCTGTGAGCAGCTTCAGCTGTGAGAGTGTAATCAGTCAAGATCTGGAACCGATTGTTTGTGTGTGTTGCATGACAGGGTGTTGTAGTCCATAACATGGCGGATTTGTAGTTCATGTGAGTGTGAATGTTTTCCAGTGACCTCCGGTGGTTAGATCCCTGGTAATCATGACTGGTATGAATGCAATTTTACCAAATAACGATTGCATTGAAATACATTTCTAGGCTTTTCACCCATCACAGTACACGTGCTGCTGATGATGTGACAATAAAAGTGATTTGATTTAATGGAAGTGAACCGCCAACAGTACAACAAACTATCGTTTTCATAATGTTCATTTGTATGCTTGTCTTCTCCAAAAAACTGTTTTTGGAGACATCGCGATATGTTCTAAACATTTATAATATTGTTGCGGCAGATAGACATGAGTTGCTCTCTGTTTGTCCAAATCTAAAAGATTCAGTCTAAGCAGAAAGACTGTAATATGCGGAAGTGTCCATTTTGGCACTTTGCTTTCGGGTCCATCACCTAGCAACAGCCATACACACAACAGCAGGTCGATGACGTAAGCGTACCGGGGTTTAGAAAGAAAATAAAAGCTAGTGTGAACACAAACCAACCGAAAAGGTGGCAAGAAGGGACAATCGAACTTGGGTACAGACCAGAGAATAGAACTAAGTGTGAAAGCACCTTGAAACCGCTCCCTAATCATCTATATTGTGTCAGCCATTTTGTAGCAGATCATTTCCTATGCTAAATCGCTCTATACTCGCAACTCACTCTGATTTTTGAGTGTATGTTCACTCAATTTGATAACAAGTATTGTGTATTCCTACAGATTGTTTAGTGTGGAACTACATTAAAGTTAAAGGGATAGTTCACCAAAAAAATAAAATAAAATTCTGTAATCATTTACTCACTCTTTATTCCTTTAAAACCAGTTTATTTCTTAAACACAAGAAAATATATTATGAAGAATCCTGGTAGCTGGCATCCATTTTCATTTGTGATCGACAGAAGAAACTCATAAAGGTTTAAAATTACATGAGAGAATGTTAATGATGAGGGAATTTAGAATTTTGAATGAACTATCCTTTCCGAGAGTGTGTTATTTGTCAAAGTAAATGTGTTTTTTCTTCACTTTACCTTTATCTTTCACAGACACCTCTCGGTCAAAGAGACACCAGGAAAGCGAAGGAGTGGAGTATCATTTCATCTCCAAAAACCTTTTTGAGGCTGACATTCAGAACAACAAGTAAGTCGCCTTCTAACACTATCCTCTTGCCTCACATACTGTTCTTATGTGTATAAACTATTTGGAAATGAGCAAATGAACATTTTCTGCTGTAATTTGGGTGGGGGATGTGAACGTTTACCATGGAAATAGTCCGTATTATTCATTAAAGTTTAGTGGAGCGCTTCCTTTATTCTCAGGATTGTAATTATGTCAACCGTAACCCTGACACAAACACTCCACAGTGGGAGAGATATAAATCTGAGAGACGGAGCCTCCGTGGCCAGTTAGTATTCAACACGTCGTCCAGAATCCCTGACTGAACTTGAGTAAATCAGCACTTCAGTCAAAACACAGCACAACAGTTTTCACTGATGTCGTCCATCTCAGACGCTATGGCAAACACTCACCAGTTCTGCCTTTCGGCTGCCCACTATTCTTTCGTTTTTTCACTCGATTTCCTGCAAGCCAGTTGTGTGTATGAGCAGCTCAAATCTCTTTTCTGTAAGCGAGAGTGAGATGGTGTTGACAGGTGGTCTGATGCTGTTTGTGTGTGTGTGAGAGAAGAGGGGTGCTTTTTACCCAGTGGTTCATAAGCTCAGATTTGTCTTGATGGCATGATGATGGATGTTTTTCTGTAGCCCTTCATCAGAGGATAAAGCAACACAACAGGAATGCGTATAGAATGTCACTTCGACAGCTAGCTGGGTGTTTTAACTGCCTTGTGGTGGAAAAAGCACACAGTGGTTTGTTCTGTGGTGAATTGAACATCAGAATGAGTAAACCACAATTATCAATATGGAGAAGGGTTGGGAATGAGCAGGTGGGCACTGAAAGACTGCTTTAAAGACATTTTACATACCCATTTTCTCTTTCTCTTTGCAGTTATACTTCTTTTTTTTAGTTTGGAATGGAGTAAAGGCTAAATTAAAATGCAAAACAGCATTTAGTTTAGCAAAATTTATTATTATTATGTTTTATTCTTATTAATATTTTTTTCTTCATTGTTGATGTATATATATATATCTGTACTAAAATAAAAAAAAATTTGTATTCAACACGTCACCATTTTACTCAGAAAACATGTTTTATAATAACTACATGAATCATCTACTAAGCATTAGCAAATAGTTAATTCAATATTTGTTTAACATTAATCTATATTAATAGACGTTAGTAAGCAGTTTTTAACTGCAGATGAAAACACTCTATTCTTGACTTTTAAGTACATTTATAATGTGCTAAATATTTGTACTATTATTTTTTTTACTGATTAATTTTTCATTCATTCATTCATTCATTCATTCATTCAGAATCAGAATCAGAATCAGAATCAGTTGTATTGCCAAGTGTGTTTCAAACACACACAAGGAATTTGTTTTGGCTACAGAAGCTTCCAGTGTACATAAAGTGACAAAGTGACAACACAAAATAAATACGGAAAAAAGACGATAAACATTAAACAGAGATGCAGTTAATCAAAAAATCTGGATGTTGAGTTGTATGTACAGATTTGTTATAAATATACAGGTTATAAGGTGCTGTGTACAAATGGGATTGGAGATAGTATTGCGTTATATATTGATATAAGGTGCTGTGTACAAGTGCGTTTTAGAAAGTATTGCACATATTTATTGCACAGTTGGGGGATATTTAAGTGTTCATAAGATAGATGTCCTGAGGAAAGAAACTTTATTTGTGTGTGGCTGTTTTTGTGCTTGGTGCTCTGAAGCGCCGACCAGACAGTAACAGTTCGAACAGGTAGTGTGCTGGATGCGAGGCGTCTAGAGTGATTTTGCTGGACCTTTTACTCACTCTGGAAGAGTACAGTTCTTGAAGTGTAGGAATGGTAGTGCCAGTGATACGTTCAGCAGTCAGGACTATTCGCTGTAGTCTACGGAGGTCGGTGTTGGCAGCTGAGCCGAACCAGACGGTGATTGAAGTGCAGAGGATGGATTGGATGACAGCTGAGTAGGACTGCACAAGCAGCTTCTGTGGCAGGTTAAACTTCCTCAGCTGACGAAGGAAGTACAGTCTCTGCTGGGCTTTCTTCAAAATAGAGTCTATGTGAATGTCCCACTTCAGATCCTGAGAGATGGTGGTGCCCAGGAATCTGAATGACTCTACTGCAGCCACAGTGCTGTTTATGATGGTGAGTGGGAGGAGTGCACGGTGGGTTCTCCTAAAGTCCATTATCATCTCCACTGTTTTGATCGTGTTCGGTGATTGGAGGTGTTGATGGCTGTGTAGGGAGATGGTCCTGGCTGTGTTGATGTGGTATTGATGGCTGTGTAGGGAGATGGTCCAGGCGGGTGTGAGGTGTCTAGTTCATTCATTCATTCATTCATTCATTTTCTACTGCTCTTCCGGGGCCGGGTTGCAGGGGCAGCAGGCTTAAGAGGGAACCCCAGACATCACTTTCCCCAGACACTTTCTCCAGCTCCTCGGGGGGGGATCCCCAAGCGTTTCCTGGCCAGCTGAGAGACATAGTCCCTCCAGCGTGTCCCTGGTCTTCCCCGAGGCCTCCTCTTGGTGGAATATGACTGGAACAGCTCCCTAGGTAGGCATCCAGGAGGCATTCGAAATGGATGCCCGAGACACCTCAGCTGACTTCTCTCATTTCAGCCGCTTGTATCTGAGATCTTGTCCTTTTGGTCATGACCTAAAGCTCCTGATCATACGTGAGAGTAGGAATGTAGATTGACCGGTAAATTGTGAGCTTTGCCTATTGGCTCAGCTTCTTCTTTACCACAGTGGACCGGTACATCGACCGCAATACTGCTGCCACTGCACCAATGAACCCACACTTTATCGTGTTTTGGGGTTTGAGTGCCTGAGTGATCCAAGGGTCTCCCAAGGAAAAAAAGGTCTTAGGTGACAGGTCAGACTTAAGTGCGGTTCAAAAACCCCTTATAAGTACAATAGCATCAGCGACCGTGATGTTGCCTGGTATGGCGCTGCCGGGCCCCACCCTTGAGCCAGGCCTGGGGTTAGGTGTGGCAAGATCGTTCAGAATGAGTTAGTAAATGATTAATAAACTATTCAAATCAACATTTATATATTTTATTATTCAGGCATATACTAATAGTTATTTTGTATGTTAATAAATGCTTTATTAATTCAACTTCAACCAGTTTTGTGACCTAATCCAAATGGAGGACTATTAATGCTTTATAAATCCCTCATTAATGGCAAATTGGAAAAAACAACAACAATATAATAATTTAACAATATATTATAATAGAACTTGTTAATGTTATTTAGCAAAGTTTATACTGTTAAGTAATTATATTTAGATAAGATTGCAAAGACTTATTTATTTTTAACTTATTGCATTTTTTATACAGTTTCATTTGAATATCTTCAAGTCAATAATTTTCTCTTTTTTTCTGTCTAGAATATAACTGAGCCTTTAATTGTTATTTATAAGGGATTTATAAGCATGAATAGTCCTCACTTTAGATGACAAAACTGGATTAAGTTGAGTTATAAAGCATTTATTTACATACAAATTAGCTATTAGTTTAAGCCTAAATAATAAGATGCATAAATGTTCATTTGAATAGTTTATTAATCATTTACTTATGCATTCTGAATGATCTTTAAAGACCATCAAGTATTCTTAAATAACTGGTTTGTAAACGATGCAATGCTTAGTTTAGGATTGAAAAATAATAATTAACAATACTATTATTAAGCACATTATATATGTGTTTATAAGTCAAGAATACAGCATTTGTATCTGCAGTTATAAACTGCTTACTAACATGTAAATGTAGAGTTAATGTTTAACAGATACTGAATTCACTATTTTGCTAATGCTTAATACATAATTCATAGTGTGTTATAAAGTGTTATAAAGAACTACATATATGAAAAGAAAACTAAATTAATTAGATTACAAATGAAGTTATGTGTAATAAAATAAAATGGAAAAAGTATTGAACAAATGAAGAAAGGAAGTGCAGAAAAGCAGTGAAAGTCCAGACAGCAGCTAAAATCTCTCAGTAGGTCTTCAGCAACTTTCTGCCCTCCTTCAGTGTAAATAAATATTAGCTGCTTCAGTCCAACATCCACTGCACATTACCAGGATGATGTAGATGAAACCAGGGTGGACATTTCAGGAAGACAATGATGCAAATACCTAAATGCATAAATAGAAATACATAAGTAGAAAACACAAAATAAAGATCAGATTTGATAGACGAGACCCAAAGAATAAGAACAGATTAAGATATTTATACTTTTGAAGTCTGTGAAAAATTTCATACCTGAGCTATTCGTGTGACTTCCTTCTTCATATGAGAGGCGTCTTTAAGCTGCTGTCACCAAAAAAGTCTTTTAAATAAAGTATTAAATACATTTCAGTAGTACTTTCTTCTTGTGTCATTTCATTGTTATTACACACAACATTTTTTTTGTTTTGTTTTATTTTTGTGTTTTATTGTAGTGTATTTTTTTTTTTTTTTTTTTTTACCAAAATCTGGTTCAAATCCATGTCAACAGCTCCTTTACTAATGTTATTCCCAGGAAAAACATGACGTGTTCAATACATATTTTCCCCGCTGTATATGATTTTTGTACATTTTCTTTTTTGTATACCTGCTTTAAAACTTGCTGTTTATTGTGAAAGTCCTTAAGCTGATGAAATGTTGAATTGAGTTGAAACAACATATGAATATTTTAAAAAATATTTTTGTGGGTTACATCATATGAAATTTTTAAATTAATTAGATTCTTGTAAATATAAAAAAATAAAACTGTGGTTAAAAAAAAAACAAGATTAATTAAAGGGCTACATTTCTATGAACCTTGCAATTTTTAAACCAGACCGTTGTAAATGACCCATTGTTCCTAGTTCTGCTTTCCAGTGGGAAAATGTCCATTCTCATGTGCAAACACTACATTGGCATTCCCAAGGAAAGCCCTGTTCAGGCCTAAAAACAGATTCTAAATGAACCAGAAAACCGCAGAAGCAGCCTCCACCCCATCATCCAACACACGCACCACATAATGACAACAATGCCACAACACAAGGTCCTGTTTGAGCACATCTGCCTTCAAATAAACATTCATATAAACAAGCACTTTGGGAATTCTTGGTAGCCCTACATGTCACATTAACACCAGCAAACCACGTCTTAGCACCCAACTAAATCAATTTGACTCACCATCAAAATGCCTTCAATGACAGAGTGCGCAGACTTTTAAAAGATGTGTAACAGCAGAAGTCACGTAAGCTTCTTAAAATGGTCGCCCAATCACCGGTTGCTGTTAGACCGCGTGGGCCCAAAAGTGTGGGCGCGTTTTTGCACTTCAAAGACATGATGACATTTGAATTGATACTTAGGGGGAAATAAAGAAGGCTGGACATGCAGCATATTAGAATATTTTAATGCTTTCAGTAATGGTAGTCATTTTAGTTGCATCTGTTGCAAAAGCAAATATTACAAAATAATATGGCGTGCTGTCTCAAGATCTAAAAACTTTCATCTCTGCTAATGTGGATGTCCTAAAAGCACACATTGGCATTCTGTGACAGCGATCAGACAAAAATCAAGTGATCAGATAAAATGAGAGGCAGATTAAATGCTGTAAAAGTGTTTGTTTGCTTTTGTCTTTTCAGGAAGTCAGGTTACTCTTGCTTTTGGCGTTCAAGCCTGCCTGTGCTGCAAAGAAACAGGTGTTACTGATTTAAACTGTAGCATAGAAGATTATATAAAAGGACCTTGTGTCAGACTGTCTGGAATTGCCATGTGGCGAAGAATGATGGTAAACGTACAATGCATGTCTGAGCGGCCTTTTACATCGCAAGCATCAGGACAGACTGGGAGTAAATAATGGGTTATAAGTTTCCTGTCATTATCCTGTCCATTGGCTTCTCTTTATATTCTAGGGTGGGTCACATAGACTTACGGGCATTCCTTTTTGCATTTAGAGGCATCAATCATTACATCAACCCTCTTCTATTATTTCTGTCCTCTTCTTTGCCTTAGGTTTATTGAACACGGAGAGTATAAGGGAAACTACTATGGGACAAGCTTCGACTCCGTACGTTCAGTCCTGTCCAAGAACAAGGTGTGCCTTCTAGACGTACAGCCACATGTGAGTCTCTCTTTTCCCTCAGATATACATTATATCTCTCCATTTTGCCTCCCTCTGCATCACTACTTCAGTCTCTTTCCAGATTTATCTCCCCCTTTTCACAGGTGTGACATTCCACACAATTCCTACTGGATCTCAGTGTGGTGTGTGTGTGCGTATGAGTTTGTTCTCTTTCTTTTGGTTTTCAGGTCAGACATTGGATATAAAAATATCTATAATAATTGTCTAGCTTTTGAGGATTTTACCGGTCACTTGACTGACATTTAAAGTTCCTGTAAAGTGCTTTTGAAATTAGCATTTTTATTCAATGGTAAACTTTCAAACTGAAACAGGAAGACAGGGCAGGACTTAAAATAGCTCCGTGCACTTTTCAAAAACACCCAACAGCATATTGATTGTATGCAGTGTTGCCAGATTGGTTGATTTTGAATTTGAGCGTGCGGGAAATAAAATGGCATTGACTGGTTGACAAAATTTGGGCGGTTTTGAAATGTAAATTTTATATGCAACTTATTTAACAAAACATAACTCCTTCTCCATTCAGTTAGTAGAGACCAGTGCATAGCACAAACCACATGGGCCAACCCGCTAGAGGAGGTGAAGGAAAGTTGTATCAAAATCTGACTCTGGACGAATCACACAGAGCCTGCAGTTAAACTCACAGCAGTTTATAATGACACTTTTATCGATATTTTTTTTCCCGCAATTGACAGCTAAAACAAACATAGAATCGTTGTCAGATTGATAAGCAGCACCTAATTATGTTCAAAAGAATCTAAAACGCCAAACTGGATGAATGTATACCCTATCTCGAAAGTAAAACATACTCTAATAGGTACATTAGGTGCAGTGTGTGGTTGAGAGGGGGGCAGTGTTTCGATGTGATCTGGTTATATTGTGGTTCTGTGACTGCCAGTGCTGGTTGGTGTATGGTTAAATTATAAAAGTTAAAGTAACTAAATTAAAATAATACAAAATATTAATCTAATATGACAACCACAGTCTATAATAATAAGTGAGATTCACCATTTGTGGTTTGTCACGACTCATATGTTCTGCTCTGTCCTACAATATCTCTGGACCGAACACAATCACAGTTTGGTTACCATTTTGTTTTGTTCATATACTTGCAGCTGTTTAGGTGAACCCTCGTTTGAATGCTTGTGGCATGTGAATAAATGAGCATTTCAGTATCAGCAATTGTGTCTTGAAGGGGCTAGAGAGTATTTTATTGATCACAATATGAAGACTGAAGTATGAGGTGAAGTCATTTTTTTTTTTATATTTAATTTACTTGAAGTTTCAAACCTAAAGCTCAGAATGTTTAAATATATCCATAAATATAAATATTCACTGCTTCAAAAAATAAAGGGAACATTAAAATAACACATCCTAGATTTTAATGAATGAAATATTCATACTAAATACTTTGTTCTTTACATAGTTGAATGTGCTGATCAATTAAAATCAAAATCTGGATTTGGAGTCACACTCAAAAATAAAGAAAAAATAAAAAACTTACAGGCTGATCCAATTTTGATGTAATGTCCTTAAAACAAGTCAAAATAACTTGGTCTAAATGACCTGGACTAAAGCATCCACCAACTCCTGGACAGTCTGTGGTGAAATGTGGCGTTGGTGGATTGAGAGAGACATGATGTCCCATCTTTGCTCAAATGGATTCAGGTCTCAGGAATGGCGGGCAAGCTTATCAATGCCTTCACCTTGCAGGAGCTGCTGACACACTCCAGCCACATTAGGAGGAAATGCTCAGTGCCAACAGCACTGGCATATAGTCTCACAAGGGGTCTGAGGATCTTATCTTTATACCTAATGGCAGTTGGGCTACCTCTGTCGAGCATGTGGAGGGCTGTGTGGCCCTCCAAAGAAATGGCACCCCACATCATTACTGACCCACTGCCAAACCGGTCATGCTGGAGGATGTTTGGTTGACAAGTATGATAGTGACTTAATGTTACTGATGTAGTCAGGCCAGTTTATGGGCCAGTATGACTTTTTTAATAGAAATGCCCATACAATTTATGCCCAAATAGATGGCTAATTGATAGTTTTACACTTGTTATATCCTTTGATGCACCAACTTTTGTTGAAAAATTGAAATTTAAGTTATCCAAAAATCTAAACGTAAAACAAAGGAAGAAAACAGTCAGTTTGGTAATAAAATTAAGATTTTAAAAAATAAAATGTGTCACTTCCTTAAAATCTTTTCATCCATAACAACCATAAAAATCATAAAGAAATGTGAGCTTTTTTCCTATATAAACTATGTTCAGTACACATAAATAGATATCCAACATTACAACATTATGTCATGAATTAGAACAACAGTAATTGGATTTTCAAATTTGCTGATTCACATGCAAGATTGAATCTAATTGGTTTTCATAGATTCTAAATTTTAGGGGTGGAAATTAACCCATGCGTCAGATATGGACAAATCAAACAGTCTTCTAATCCATCTGTTATTTTAACCCAGGCTGAAATGTGTGGCTCTCAAAGGAAATGGCACCCCAAACCATTACTGACCCACTGCCAAACTGGATGTTGCAGGCAGCAGAACGTTCTCCACAGCATTACTGAGCAGTGTTTTACGCTGTTAGTGAACATGTCAAGGCTGTCTAAGCAATATTTAGATGAATATGTAAATATGTGAAAGCATCCAGTCATAACGATGTAAACATTTGCAACAAATCTGCAATTAGGCAGTCCAGTTAAATCTTGATGATAGATGGTTTCAGTGAAAATAGCATTTTGGTATTGAACATAAAAAAAAAAAACTAAATAAAAACTTACAATACACAACTTCAGTTTCTGCTATGAATCAACTTTGTTTCTACTATAAATTATTTTAATTTTAAAGTATTAAAATGTGGCAGAAATTGTCAGTTTAATTTTAAGGCTAAAAGAAAGTAGAAAATTGTGGTGAAAAGCTAGATTTCAACCAAGAAAACAGGCTTTTAAATGAAAAAGAAAATGCAAATCTGCTTTTGAAACCAGTGATTAATTCAGTAAGTTGAAACATCTTCACAGAAATGTGTGGTAAAGTTCAGTGGTTGGTTTGTTTTGAGCATGAGGATCTCGACTACCTGAAGTGTAACGTTTCTAACCAGAATGCTTTGTTTTCACTCGTGGAGTCAGATCAGTTGAGCTCAGTGTGAATCAACTGCTCTGTTTTCTGTCAAAATGTAACTGCGACTAACAGCAATAATGTTCAGAAGTATCAGTGTCAAACTAAATCATGATGGCATGAGTAATGACGCTTTAATGACTGCGGTTAACGCTGCTCTCTTTATCTTTCCCTCATTTTTTCACATTCTCTCTTTCTCTCCATCAGACATTAAAGCATCTTCGTACGGCCGAGTTTAAGCCCTACGTGGTGTTTGTGAAGCCTCCATGCATCGAGCGTTTAAGAGAGACCAGGAGGAACGCAAAAGTCATCTCAGGCAAAGACGATAAGACCTCATCCAAAGCCTTCTCGGTAATACACACCGCACACACAGCTTCCACATTAATACACCCATCTATCATTCTCTTTCATCCTGACATGATCTCTCTTCTCTCTCAATTGGTCTGTGTGGGTTTTGAGTCATTTTTGTTCCTCGATCTCACAGCGCATGGTGAAATAAGAAATACATTTCATCACTTCCTGGCATACAACAACCACATAATTTATAATAGTCATTTTTCTTTTGGACCCGTGCAGACGTATGCTGGGTTTGCACTTAAAACGTGTGTCCACGCCTCACGTGTGTGTACGTGTTTATGTGTAACTGGTCCCCAGAGCGGCAACGTGATATGAGACCCATGAGCTCACGCTACACCTGTATGACTGTGCTTAAACAAAACACATGAGATCAATTAACACGTACACCAGACCTTTGCCCTGTCCTGCCTTTAGATCATTCTGTGTGTGTGCGCGACATGGTGTGAATATGCAGGGTATATAATGACTTTCCCAGAGTTCAGCTCTTGCATGTGTATCTCGCTGCGATTCTACACTCAAGCCAGGCGTTCTTGCTGCAGAATACTGACCCTGGGAACTTGACTCCACCACACGCGGAGATGGCTTGATGCCGATTGTCACTGTGGAGAAGTTCCATGTCGGGTATTGTCAGATGCAGTTAGCTCCAAATTTACGCTCACCTGTCAACCTGTTGAACCAACAAGTGGCCAAATGCAATACGCACTCCTTTTCTGTCTTTTACACAACGCAGATCGGGAATGGAAGCTCATTTTGCACAGGAATTCCTGAATGATTCGAATGGATGTTACTCATTTTCACACAGCAGCTTCTGCCTTTTTATCCATTATGAAGTCATAGAAGCAACTGCCAAAGAGTAAATGATTTCAGAGACACATGCAACCATCATGTTGCCCGTCTGGGGTCAGCCAGGCTACAATATAATACATATGGATATTAGGTGGTGGAAATTAAGAAATTTGATAACAATTGATTGATGAAGGTTATATTTATATGAGCGTACTCTTAATGTATTATAAGACATGCAAAATGACTTATAAATAAAGTAAAAGAAGCCCCTTTTATGCATTATAAAAGGTATTATTTTGTTTTGAGGGGTCTCCAACAAAAGGCTGATATGCATACTGTTATTAGCCCCTTTCAAACAGTGATAATGGTAAATATCGGAATTCCCAGAATGACTTTACTGGTAAATTTAAAAAAAGGGATGTTCACACAGGAAAGGACGTCCTGGAATTTTGTTGAAAACAACATTTACACATCCATTCCAAAATGCTTGTAAATTCTGACATTACTAACCAGAAATGAGCTCTAAATGGCTGCACTTGTATTTATAAACATAGAAGGGGTCGGGCTTTTGTTGATGGTTTCAGTTTTTTTTAAGGCTTTGGCATTCATGCAGCTGCTTTGTTCTAGAGACATCCAAAGGCAGAAGCGCGAACCGTGTTTACACATTTGATTACATTTCAAATTCTGTGTATGGGTAAATGTTGTAAACAACTTTAATGTACACATATGGAGGAACACTTTCACATGTCAAGATGTACAGTAACTTTAGACACGCGTTGATGCTGCAGCCCCGTGTGAATCGAGCGTGAGTTGAACTATTTTGAAAATTGGCCGCATCACATTTGTGTAGGAACTTCTAATGGTAATAGCAATGACAAACAGCAGGGAATTGCTAGCTCAAAAACGCATTTAAATCGGTAAATGAAGCAGTCTGCGATTTAGATTTAACCAGAGAGATAACGTACAAGCCGTGCGGTGTGATTACACACAATTAAATACATATTTTGCAAACTACAGAAAACAAGGAGCAACCATTTTAATCACACCCACAGGTTGTGATCCAGAGGAAGAAGAGACAGGTACATATGAATTGTTTAATGACAAAGTCCTATATATTAATATAGTCTTTGCCGATCCTTCCTTTAACAAATGGCCAGCGAATCCCACATTGCAGGGTATTTCATTGTATTAATCTTCAGAAAAATGACAGCAACAAATACAGCACAAGGTTATACTGGCTATACTGGCCATCTCTCAGGGATCGTACTGTAATCTTTGTAATTTAGCACTTGACGATGTCTTGTATTGACATCAATATGAGCAGGCAAAATATCTGAACGCTAGACGATTAATTTATTTGTTTTTTCCATTTGATAATCAATAGTGTTAAACACGGCGCACTTTCAGATTTAAACCTCAGCTGTATGTTTTCATTCACTTAGAGCTGTGTTACACACTACATGGAAGGTAATTTTCAAAAACTCGTTATAAGGACTCTTTATAATGTGTTGCAACATCTCAAGAATAATGGTAACAACAGGAATAATACTGCATGTAATTTTCTCCATTTAAACAATAATGATTTATTCAGGTATATCCCATAGCTTTATCTTCTGGTTTTCTAAGTTTCATGTCATAACCTTATTCTTTGCTATAGGTCTTCTTTTTTAGATTAAAATGGCACAAACAGAATTATCTTTCAAACGTCTAAAAATGCTAATAAATGTGCTCATATTATGGTTTAGCAGACAAACTCTCACTTTTAGCTACTTGCATACAGGCAGCTTAATAGTATTTAATAATGACTTAAACTGTTGGATCAAATTCTACGTGTCTTAATTTAACTCTATATTTCAATGTGACCTCAACGAGTGCATTACGTACTATTGTTTAATGGCACTCTGGAATATTTCGATCCTGCTGGTGGTACATCAAGAATAACAATTACTAAAAATCTATTAACACTGGTTCTTACATGTGCTTTGAATGATCTTGACAGTTAGAATATATCACACCGCTGTATATAGGCTTTATTCAGTTGTTTTTATTTCTGCTAGCTTTTCTTTTAGTATAGAATTAGAGAATTATTACAGTTCATATCAATGTAGTTTAATTGTTTGCCTTTGTGGCAAGTAGCTATGTCATAAGTAGGAAAATGTGCATTTAGGTGGTTGTTTTCACAAAATAAAGCCCTTTAGTATTATACAACAGCACTCTGCACTGTTTCAGACTTCTGACAAGCATCCCTTATGCAGTAAAATTTAAGTTTATAGGTGCAAAAGTCATACTTGATAGTAGAGATGTTCTCCATCACAGTTGTGGCCATAAGTTGTCTGCTTTAAATAAAGTAACAAATTGTAGTCCATAATATGTCATGAAGTGGTTAAAGCCCATTTAACTTGATGTCATCTTGAAATTCTGTGGAAAACTACAAAAGAAGTATCCATTCATAATTCGCATACTAATAATCCTAAAAAATGGATTGTGCTTATGCCTTTACATGGTGTAAACTGCACTATATATATATATATGTATTTATTAATGTGACTTGTAAGAACATACTGTATGTGACCTGTCAGCTGTTCCAATGTTCTTGAAATTTCTTCCTTTAAAAAATAAATAAAAATAAAGTATTACAAAAAAATCATTAAAATAATTTAATAAGGTGTTTAATGTCTGATATCTATCTTATAGGTGTTTAAGGTGTTAAATGTCTAATACCTAAATTGGGAAAAGTGTGTAAATTTACAAGGTAGCTAGTACAAATTTAGACTTTTAGCTGCATATTTCATTATTTTTATTTCAGCACCTTTGAAACTGAGTCGATGCTGGTCATATTAATTCAAACCACTGAATGTGAGATTAGACCACACCACGCTTCCCAAAGTTTTCAATTCGCCCAAAGCTCAAGGATTATGCTGTTGTCAGTGGGAAAGTTGCTTTGGCTATCTCTATTGTGAGAGGAGCTGTACCAAAAGCTGTCGGCACCATCCACAGCAACCGTCTGCCTGCTTTCAACAGGTCATTGTGGGTACTATTGAGGGGGAAAAACAAACCCTTCCTTGCTGGCAAAACTTAGCAAAAGTGGATTATAGACCCTGACAGTGTTAAAGGCACCCAGATTCAGCCTATTATAGATATGCAAGAAGTATCGTGTTTGATGAAATCTCAGAAGCATATTTCATCCAGGACTTTGCAGTATTTCTTTCCCAGAGAGACACTGCGTCTGTTAGAGCCATGAGCTTGAGCGCTGTCGACTCTGTGCAAGAAAACAGGCTTCCCTTTGTTTCGGTGAATCCAGACCCCACTACTCTATTGTTCTCACTTTTAGTATCGCTTGTATAACATTAATGCAATTTTTGGTTCTGTAAAAGATCAAAATATCACTCATTCTCCTTTTAGGAGTAGCAAAAACCTTAAAATTTCATAAAAATGTCAGCAGAGGTGGACGAGCAGAGGGTTTCATCATCTGGCAAGAAATCGTTTTAATGAGGAATGGAAACACAAGCTAAAATTGGAGGATGTTTTTTTTTTTTCTTTTTGTCCTGTGCACTGTTAAAGTCAGCCCAGAGCACAGATTAAGTGCCTTTACTTTGGGAATATAAAAAGCAGGACCTCTTGATGACCCAGAGATGTCCTTTTTTGAACGGGTTTAATGATAAGGGCAGGTGCACTTTATATGATCCAATAAAAATCGATTTTCCGGCAAGGATTGAGAGATAAGCAGGAGGGAGAAAGAGAGAGATGCAGCTTAGTGCTGAAGAATTCAGGGAAGACCTGAACGTTGAGTGAGCAAACGCATTAGAGCCTCTGGGAAATAAACAATCGGAAAGAAATGCAGAGGAAAAATAGATTTAAACCCTTGAAACTGATCAGATTTGGTAATAACACTTCCCTAGAGGCGCAACATCTGTTATACCTCAATTAGCATGAGGTTTTGATTTGATGACAGAAAGAGGAAAAGATATGTTCAGACCTTGGGCCAAACCTTTGACTGTTTAGACCAAACACAAGCTAATTCAGCACGTTGAACCAGAGCTTTATTAAAGCCATGACTAAGTCAATGAACTGCGACTTTTGATGCATTCTGCCAATGACTGTCAGATTGAGAGACTGCTGTAATTTTCAGAACGCCAGCAGCTCTGTGACCCTCTGTGCCGAAGCTGAAACGTTGACTACATCTCGACCCCTGATCAAGAAAGGAGGAGAGGGAAGGGTTCAACAAAGAGTGGGAGGGGAAACCTGGCCAAATGCATGCTGTTGTCTTGTCTGCTAATGCCAAACTTCAACTTTTCCAAACGTAAAATGCGCCTAATAGCTTCTTGGTAGAGTATAAAACTTCAAGTCCCTCCAGAAGCTTCTGATTTATTTTTTTAGCATGGCAATATGTTTTATAGCATTATATCTCTCTCAGTGTGGGTCTCATGTTTTTGTGTTGTAAAAGTTAAATCTATATTGGTAAAGCCACTCAAACCATGCCATGTTCTTTGAGACTGGCACCGAATGCCAAGATTGCCCACATAAACACTTATTTTGGATGCACAAGCCCAGAAAGGTCAAATGCCATGTTTGAAAGTCCTGAGATAAACCAGTAGACACTACCAAGATTGCATTGTTTGGGGGTGGGGGGGATGCTTAGTGGTGGCAGCTTGAGCATGTTATAAAATATATTTGATTTTGTTTCTGAAGTTTTTCATCAATGTCAGTTTGTTTTGAACAGTGAACATGTTTAATGAATAATGACTGTTGATCATTTCTCAGGGCTTTTTAAGCGCCAATCTGTTGCATATGCCAGGGTATAAAATTGCGGTCTGTTTATTCACTCCACTCTTCCTGTGATCAAAACGGCTGGAGATCCAGACCTCAAACTATAACTCTAAACTGTGCACCACCTCAGTAGAACATTAAATATCAGTTTATATGTTTATCTTTTATCGCATATAGATATTTTTGCATGTCTGCATCTAAAGTAGTTTTATTATAAACAAAAAAAAAGAATAGTTTTTAATTAAGTCGATGTTTATGACCGTTGTTTTGGGAGTGCTGTGGGAAAGTGTGTTTTAGGGCTTATTATGTGTCTCAGAAAAGAACTTTGACTGGCTGTGAATGCGTTTGTTGTTTAGGAGGAGGACTTTCTGGAGATGATCAGTGCCTCTCAGATGATGGAAAACCAGTACGGTCACCTCTTTGAAAAGGTCATTGTGAATGATGACCTCACAGTTGCCTTCAGCGAGCTCAAACAGGCGCTCAAGAAAGTGGAGACAGAAGCTCACTGGGTGCCCATCAGCTGGACTCATTCCTGAGGGGCGGCACAACACAAGGGAACAAGGCAATTGCATCTGGAAGGGGGACTAAGGGAAGGACTTAAAAAAACTGTGAAAGATTTCTTTCTATTGAATTTTTATGTTGGACTTTAGATGGTGACAGGGAAACTTTTTAAGTAGTCTTAATACATCTGAAGTGGTTTATCTTTTCTTGGAGACTAAAGTGGAAGCGTATGGGTTTGTTTTTGTTTTGTCGTGGTTAATATAGCTGAACGGGTGTAACAGCACTCAAAAAGTCAAATGTCTGATCATTTAGCAGCCTCCGAGAGTGTGTTTTAGGCTGCCAATCAAGTGGTGTTGTGGTGTTGACCACTGCTTGGTGTATTTTTAACATTAGTTTATAGAAACCAAAGGGATGATTATTATTTTTCTGTGCTCAAAGTACACATTTTTATATTTGCAAACTTAGCACACTGTACCCCACTGGCCTGTTACTTTGTTAGTTTAGCGTTGTGTATGGGGGACGCCATATGATGTTCAGTGGGCCCATTTTATTTAAATAGAAAATAATATATTTTAATATTTTTTTTGGACTTTTACTTTTTTAGCCTGTCCCGGATTTTATCAGAGTTACAAGAATATTTTTTTTGCTTTTAGTATGTAAGGATCAATGCCACCTTGTAAGCAGAAGTTTTACTAATGTATAAACCACTGTGTGCAGAATCTGAGTTTTTCAGTTTTATCTGTCTTTTTCTCCTTTTTCCATTCTTCCATTCTTGAGGTTAGGCACTTGGAAAATGCATATAAGGGAATTGACTCAGTCTAAGAAGCCTAAAAGCACCTCTCCTGCAATTGAATCTGAAAGAAAAAAAAGGCTTTTCAGACTTCAATAGTTTACCCAATAATGAAAATTTTGTCACAGTCTTCAAAAGATTTAAATATGACATGACATGCGTTGTATGGACTTCAATGGTACTTACTTATTTTTGGTGCTCAATCCGCTTCCAACTTAAAGATGTAATCAGCAGATGAGGGAGTAGAATATGTATTTATAGCATAAAAACTAATGATGCACTGAAATTTCAATAAAAACTGTTCACCGAACACAAAGAAAATGGGTGAAATATTTGAGATGAAAGTAAAGATGTTTCAATTTTATTTTTTCATTGTTTCGGCCAAGAACAAAAAATGGATTAGCTACTATATTAGGCAATCCCTCCAGGATTTTGCAGGGACTATTTTTTTTATATATCGGCTGCCTGAAATGTCTTTTTTAATCTGAGATTTTATCAAATTTTTAACATTATATGCTTTAATTCATGTGTTTTGTTGTAAAACACACAAAAACATTTTTTTATCTCAATAACCATTCGACTCATAAAATCCTTTAGGTGTCGAGATGGGTAAAAGTATCAGAATTTGGGATGTGCTTCCATTTTAGAAGAAAAGTAACTGAAATATTTCACAGATTTATTGAGGGACGGAGAACTGTTCTATTGCTGGATTTAAATATGAGTGACTCCCCAAAAGAACATATCAGGTCTATTTATTAAAACTGAACAACCCAAACAATATTCATTTGGTTTTCAGATAAATAACATTTTTTTGGGTGCAAATTTCAGTGCATTATTAGTATCAACATTAAGTGATATAATTAGTTACTGTTTTCTTTTTTTATTATATAGCAATGCCTCATGTAAGAATATGTCATTAAATACATGCATACCTTTGCTGTTGTTTTGTTAAGTCCTGTTCACACCAAAAGGATGATGACGAATAAGAATTAAAAAATGGATCTAAAATCATTGTACATACAAAAAAACTGTAACATGGGGGAATAAATACAAAATTGTAACATGGGGGAATAAATAGGAGTTGCTTTCAAAATATATATATATGTTTTCCATCTGATGACTGATAAAAACATAGGCCAATGAGAATCCATCGCATTTAAAAAGCTTGAATATTTAAAGTGATAGGATACAACTCTGCAGCTCTCGCTTATACATGTAATTGAAAAATGTCCGTTTGGTGTGAGCAGACATCCGTTTTGTTGTTACAGCATATCGTTTTGCATTCAAGCAGTCTTAATCCCATTGACACTTGTTACTGTTATGTACTGCATTTAATAATTTTGTCCAATAGTCATCATAAACACTGTAGTTTTGCCTTTAAAAGCAAGGTGCAATGGAGTTTGTTCACTTGATTCACTGTATGTTTCTCTTTACCTCTTTTTCAGTCAGCTTTGCAGTCTTAATATGAAATATGCACAGTAAATATTCAATCCTGTATTTCAGTAACATCCCTTCCTGGTTGGCTGGTCTTCTACCAAGTTGTGTATGTCAAATGCATTTTATGAAAGCAGAGATTCATGTTTCTATATTGTTTCATTCTGTCGATGATCAAGGGTTTACAACCTGTGCTGTTATAAAACATCCCCTCCTCCAAATGGACATTAAATATGTGAATCAGTTATGTTCTGTCCAATTTCATTATGAAACAAGGGTGTTTTTGTTCCTAGTTCTGTAATTAATAACCAATGTTTCCTGTAATAGTTAATTCACTTCAGTGTTTGTGGCACTTCAGACACAAAGGGCCGGTGGGACAGACTCATTGCTCAACTACTGAGATCTCACCGTCTGATGAGCTGCCAAAACAAGCCAGCAGCCAACACAATGTCCCATAATCCTTCGGCTCCCCCTCCATGATAGACCTGCCGCTGACGCTCAGAGCTGATAGGGAAGATATTGAAATGGATGGAGAAAGGGAAGGGTGACATGATACCAGACGATGGATAGGAAGAGGTAACCATGTTTTTTTAAGACGAGCTTACTTTGTGTTAGTTTCTTTGTGTTTTTCTTCTCGTTCTTCATGGTATTAAATGGAGAGTTCATCATTTGACTTGTTTGGAGGGAATTCAGGCATGTTTTCCTATTCTAATGTGCTCCTTGTCCGTTTGTATGCAAGTCCACTAGAAGGACATATTTGAATGCAGCACATGAAACTGCTCACTTTTTAAAAAATTTAATCAACTTTTAAAAACATCTTGAAAACATCAGAAAAATCTTCAATTTTCCTCCAGCTTAGTCCCTGAATAGGTCTTAATACAGTCTTTGAACCCAAAAAATCATTAAAGTTTGAAGATGAATTAGTCTTTTTGTCAACAAATCTCTTCTTTTCATACATTTTCTAGGATTTTTTCATCATGTTTTGTACATTATCAAGTTCATTCATTTTCTTTTCGGCTTAGTCCTATTATTCATCTGGGGTCGCCACATCGGAATGAACTGCCAACTATTCCAGCATATGTTTAACACAGCGGATGCCCTTCCAACCGCAACCCAGTACTGGGAATTACTCTCACATTCACACACTCGTACACAAAGGACATTTTGTCCCAAGTCACCTCATGTTTTTGGACTGTGGGGGAAACTGGAGCACCCAGAGGAAACCCACACAAACACAGGGAGAACATGCAGACTCCACACAGATATGCCAACTGGTCCAGCTGGAACTCGAACCAGCGACCTTCTTGCTATGAGGTGACAGTGCTAATCACAGAGTCACCGTGCTGCCCTGTTCATGAATCAGATTTTATTTATTTTTTTTGTAAAAGATAAAAAAGTAAATGAGTTCAGATGCAAAAACCTCTAAATGCCGTCTGAAATTTTCTTATCAAATTGAGCAGTTTTATCAGGCTACAATGGGTAGGTTCATTAATGTCACTTTTACGGCAAAGTATAAGTCTTTTTTTATGGTCTTCAAATAAAATATCCTACATAAACAAAGGAGGCTGAGAAAATGCTCATTTTCAATTCAAATTTCAGATGGCACTTAGAGGTTTTTGCATCGGAACTCTTCAAATTGCCAGCAAAACTCTTCCCAATATTACTAAAATATATGTACAGTTGTAGTCAGAATTATTAGCCCTCCTGAATTATAAGCCCCGCTGTTTATTTTTCTTCCAATTTCTGTTTATAGAGAGAAGATTTTTTTCCACACATTTCTAAACATAATTTTTAGTAACTCATTTCTAATGACTGATTTATTTTATCTTTGCCATGATGACAGTAAATATAATATTTGTAATATATGTATTATTTGACTAGATATTTTTCAAGACACTTTTATACAGCTTTAAGTGAAATTTTAAGGCTTAACTACGTTAATTAGGTTAACTAGGCAGGCTAGGGTAAACAGCCAAGTTATTGTATAGTGATGGTTTGTTCTGTAGACTATCAAAAAAGCTTCAAGGGGCTAATAATTTTGCCTTTAAAAAGTTTTTTTTTTCATTAAAAATTGCTTTTATTCCAGCCAAAATTAAACAGATAAGACTTTCTCCAGAAGTAAAAATATTATGAGACATACTGTAAAATTTTCCTGTTCCTTTTAAACATCATTTCACTATTTAAAAAAGAAAAAAAGATCGGCTAATAATTCTGACTTCAACTGTATATTGTGTTCAGGTGTGAGAGAATGGAACTTTGGAATGACAACAAGGTGAGTACATTTTAGTTAGCGTACACATTAATTTAGTCATAATATTTAGATTTATTTATTAATGTGCCTTAATCATGTTTGTTCCACCAAAATAAAAAGGTCAATGATGACTGAATTATGGCTGATGCAGTAGTTCAACAAGCAAGGAAAAGATAAGTCCCATAAAAAAAAAAGAGTAAATCCCAATAAAAAAATCTAAAATTAATCAAGTTCAGAAAATGAACACAATTTACAACCTTTTTTGTTATATAAATTGACTAAAATAATAAATAAAAATGGTGGCTCAGTGGTTAGCACTGTCTCACAGCAGGGACCTAAACTGTCCGTAGTGTATAAGTGTGTGTATGAATGAGAGAGTGTATGGGTGTTCCTTTGTACTAAGTAGTAGCTGAAAGGCCATCCGCTGTGTAAAACATATGCTGGAATAATTGGTTCATTCCGCTGTGGTGATCCCTGATAAATAGGATTAGGCCGAAGGAAAATAAAATGAATTGTGAATGAATAAATAAAAGCTATTTACAAGCTAAAAAAACTATTTATTAGTCTATTATATTAGTCTATTATATAAATATTTATTATCTATTTATAAACTATTATATTAAATATTTATTAGTCTATTATATAAATTGACTAAAATAATAATAATAAAACACTACTAAGAACAAGAAAAGAGCACATTCAGTGTTAAAACGTGTCTCAGCATCTCACAACTTCCATGTGTTCTCACTCACTTTCTTTAAACTGTCAAACACAGGAAGCGTGTCGCAGGACTGCTGATTTGCTAAAGCGTGGGAATGCTGAAATGTTGTAATCCTTTGGTAATAATAAGGATGTGTTTTGTGTGTGTCAGGTAGAGCCCATTATACCAACCTCCTCTGATTACCATCTTTGTCACAACAGGCCTGTCAGAAAGCCAGTGCCACTTACAGCCATGACGGCGCTCAGCAGGTTTGGCAGGAGCAAAATGAGGAAACGAGAGAGCGAGTCAGGCTGGTGGGAGGGAAAACACAGACCGTCTACTTTAAACTTAATCAGCACTGGTGCCGCCGTGCTTTAGCACTTGTCTGTCTGAGTCTATGACCATTGTGTTGATGCCTTTCTCGCTTAGCACACCTTCTGATCTCTTTGACTCAGACCCAGGGGTGAAAAGTCCAGCAGCCCCTGCTTCATTTGTCTGTTGCCTGTTCATTTCATCTTTATGGAGATTAATTCAGTTACCTTTGTTTGTTTGTGTCGGAGGTTGTCAGGATTCTCTCAGAGTTCCCAGGGCTCTTACGATGGTGCCACGCTTGGCTTTTCACTCGTAGTTAAACCGTGCAAAAGTGGTGGATGAATGATGCTCTGTTTCATTAGGAAAGGTTGTGTGTAGTAATGTAAGCGAGACGCTCTCTGGAGGAGGGAGGAATGAGTGTCTTCGTGCCTCAAGGCCATGTTTTCATGACGTGCCCTTCAAGCTAATTGATGAGCGATGAGTGGTTTTTGCAACCGGTAAAGTCAAAGCGGCGTTTTTGTATGGCTGTATTTAAATGTTGGGCATTTATTATTGAAAGAAGTGTCTTGTACTCAACAAGGCTCTATTCATTTGATCAGCAGCACAGTAAATACTGTAAGCCATTCTAGTATCTGGTCTTGTGCAGGAGAAACATGAAATGAAAGGAAAGTTTGCCCCTGAGTTGTTTTGTGGATAAAATAGGCTACATTAATAGACAAATGGACAGACAGAGATGCATTTAGAGTTGCATTTTGTGTTTTGAACATGTACTGTATGAAAACAGTTGCAGAAATTAATATGTACAGTACCTCAAACATAGTTTATCGGTGTCCTATCACTCCAGAAAAATCAAAGTAAGAGCTGAGTGATATGACATGATGGATAAACACTTATATTCAGCAGTGTACAGGTGTTTGTTGCCTCATTACAAACAAACATGACAAATATCACAATATTCCTGTTAAACTACACTAATCTAATAAAAGATACAGTTAAATAGACCTTATGCCTTTTTCGGACACCAAATAAATGTTCACTCACCGGCCACTTTATTAGGTACTCCTATCTAATTGCTCGTTAACACAAATTTCTAATCAGCCAATTACATGGCAACAACTAAATGCATTTAGGCATGTAGACATGGTCCAGACGTTCTGCTGCAGTTCAAACCAAGCATCAGAATGGGGAAGAAAGATGATTTAAGTGACTAAACATGGCATGTTTGTTGGTGACAGATGGTCTGGTCTGACTATTTCAGAAACTGCTGATCCACTGGAACTTTGATAGACAACCATCTCTAGGGTTTACAGAGAGTGGTCTGAAAAATAAAAAAATATCCAGTGAGGGGCAGTTCTTTGGGCTCAAATGACTTGTTGATGCCAGAATACAGGGGGGAATGGCCAGACGGGTTCGAGCTGATAGAAAGGCAACAGTAACTCAAATAACCACTTATTACAATTGAGGTATGCAGAAGAGCATCTCTAAACACACAGCATGTTGAACGTTGAGGCAGATGGGCTACAGCAGCAGAAGACCACACCGTGTGCCACTCCTGTCAGCTAAGAACAGGAAACTGAGGCTACAATTCACACAGGCTCACCAAAATGAGACAATAGAAGATTGTAAAAACATTGCCTGGTCTGATGACATTTGCATGGCAAGGTCAGAATTAGCCATCACCAACATAAAAGCATGGATCTATCCTGCCTTGTATCAATGGTTCAGGCTGGTGGTGGTGGTGTAATGGTGTGAGGGATATTTTCTTGGCACACATGCGGCCCTTTAGTAACAAATAAACATTATGTCAACGCCACAGCCTGCCTGAGTATTGTTGCTGACCATGTCCATCCCTTTATGACCACAGTGTACCCATCATCTGATGGCTACTTCCAGCTGTATAATGTGCCATACCATAAAGCACAAATCCTCTCTGACTGGTTTCATGAACATGACAATGAGTTCACTTAACTAAAATGGCCTCCAC